ATATCTCTGCTGTATTTTTTATCTTCTATTTTTTATCTGCTAGTTTAGTACATTTCCCAAAGTATAGTTATCACAAAATAGTAGTCTCTCTTGATGTCCAGTGAAAAAATATTTTCAGTAATCATATATGAAAACACTGTACACTACCCACTGTCTTGTAGAATGAAAATACACTCTAGGTACACTGAGAAATCTTACTAAAAATAAAACATCCAAACTTCGTTTATCCCAGTATATCCTAAACTTAAGACTACAAAAGCCTTCTTAGCATTATTGTCATCCTGCAAAACACAACTGAAGATAGAAGTTGGTAAAATACAGAAAAGATGCAAATCAGTGGCCAGAATTTAGCATAGTATTAAAGGTGCTGGACTCCCACATGAACAACCAAAGATCAAGTCCAGGACCTGGCAGCTTGTTTTCTTACTTCTCTCTCTCTGGTGAGCACACATGCCCTATAGCAAAATCTAATAATAATAATTAAGATAAATAATTCTTTAAAAAAAAAAAAGAAGCAATCCACCTAAACTACACTTTTCTGAATTCTAATTGTAGAGGTCATTAGAAATGGAAATACTTGTTCAGAACATATTGACACAGGGAATAAAAACCTAACATTAAATCGTTACAAATATAGCATCTTACTTAAGTAGCATAGACTCACCATTCTGGTATACCTGAATGTGAGGAGCATTTTTAAACTTAATTAAATGTACTTACTCTGAACTCTCCGCTACATTACACAAAAAGACCATGGGCACTCACCATTGCAGTTCTGGACTTAAGAAACCAGTCAAATCTGAATTGAGGAGAGTTGCGAATACATTGTTGCAATTCATCATAAACATTTTCCTTGTCAAATCCAAGTTTGTGAAGCATACAAATCAGAAAACGATCTTCTTCTTCAGTATAGTTCTTTCCTTTGTTAGTACCATAAGATATTCTCAGCTGATGAAAAGGTGCTTTGTACCGTCCAATCTGTAAATGAGATTTTTAAATTATATAAATCTTATATAATCTATATTTCAAACCCAGTTTTAGAATAATTAGCTATAAATATTATTTTAAAACAGAATTTTCTATCTAGATCACTTCAACTGCATTATATATTTTTTGCCCTAAAAGACCATTATAGTTAATCATAAAGAAAAATACAGACTCTGACTGATACTACTTAGTAAGGGACTGATGCTAGTGTCTTTGACCCTAATATAAGTTTAATACTGAGGTAAACTGTGTTGACCATTCCTATAACATCTGAATGTTTTTCTCGGAAGAAATTTTCAATTTAAAACTTTCATGTCTGGGAACCAGCAGATGGCCTAATGGCTACATCGCTGGACTCCCATGTAGTCGACCTCAGTTTGAGTCGACTCTGTGGCTTAAACTCACACCAGGCACGTGTGTGTGCGTGCCCAAGATCCCAAGAGGAGAATGGAGGAGAAGGGATTACGGCATGGTCATCCCCTCAGGAGGTGATTTCTTGCTTTCTGTCTGTTTCTCTCTGTCTTTCTGCCAAGTGCAGGCGCCCTATAGCAAAAACTTCTCCAAAAATAAAAAAATGTAAAAACTTTCACTTCTGGGACCAAATGGCATAATAATTGTGTGGCTAGACTCCCACATAGTCTATGCGATTCGAGTCCCAGACCCAGAAGCTTAAAACACACCAGGCGTGTGTGTGTGTGTGTGTGTGTGTGTGTGTCCAAAATCTCAGGAGGAAAAGGGACTGCAATGTAGCCATCCCCCTAAGGACAAATTCTTGCTTTCTGTCTCTCTGGCAAGTACATGCACCCTATAGCAAAACTCTCTCTTAAAAAAAAAAATTTTCTTTTTCTTAGTTACTTTAACTCTCATATTCAGAGATACTAGTTATTAACTACTATATTTACTGACGCATAAAGTACCTTTGTGTCAAGTGCTTTTTTGATACTTATTCTTCTTTGAATTCTTGCCTCTCCTCTTTCAATCTGAGCCATAATCTTCTCTATGTCCTGGAGCTCATTGCATCTTTCCCAGAACACAGCTGTAAAAGAAAAGTCAAGACACATGAGATGGGCAAAAGAAAGGAATAAATACAAATAACGTGCTAGCATATATGCTATAATTTATTTGCTATGGATTAAGAAATGTTTCCATTTACCCTATATCTAACAGTAGAAAGTAAAATTAGTTTTAATTTCTCAGTTTCCTTAAATGTAAAAAAATGAACTGAACTGAATGATTTAAGTTAATTTCCAACTCTTAAGTTTCTGCTATTATAAAATTCTAAGCAAATTCACCACAACGTATCTAGAAATATGCGTGATCTTCAAAAAAAATTCATGGAAAACGTGTACTAATGAAAAAACTGAGTGGATTTTAAAATGTTTTTGCAACAAAATAAACTCATACATGAGTTCCCTCTTTTCCACAAAATTTTTAAGTCTTGCTATATTCATTCTAATAGTCCAACTGAGTTTACAAAACACAAGCATACTAATAGTTGAGAACAATTATTTCATGACATATTCTGGTTTTCTTAGCTTTAACTACTTAGCTATGGTTCAAACAAAAATCAATTATGTTATTTTTAGGGAAAGGGAGATTTTATGTTTTAACAAACATAAATAAGGCCTAAGTTATGGCAAAATTAGCTGACCAAAACATAATTCAAGGTTGTCCCCAGCATACTTTTAAGAAAGTCAGATCCTACATGGCCGAACACAGCTTGAATCTCAAACTCAGGACTGAAAAACAAACCAGAATTGTGTGTGTGCACGCTGAAAATCCCAATAGGATGGACAAATCGAAGAGAAGGGATTATGGCATGATCACACTGAATTGGGGGATGTTTTCTCTCTCTCCCTTTCTGGAGAGCCCATGCAACCCCTGGCAATTATGAAACAAAAGAAACAAAAAACAGAGCCAGTCTGGGACATGGTGGTTAAGGCAGCTAGAATTCACATGGCCAAGTAATGGACCCAGTGGTTTAAAAAACATGTGAACTGCATATGCATGTGCACCCAAAATTCTGAAAGAGAGAGAGAGAGAAGGAACTGTAATGTGACCATTCCCCATAGGCGATGCTTTTTCACTTTCTATCTCTCCTCTGTGCACACGCACTCTCTGGCAAAATTTAAGAAAGATTGTGTATGTATGTACACATGTGTGTGTGTATATATATATATATATATATATATATATATATATTCAGAATAAGAAAGATTTTATATACAGATATATAGACTATATCTTCAGAACGAGAAAATAGGAACCTATCAACAACTCTTATTAAACTCTAAAAGCCTGAAAAACAGTCTTCTATCAAAGTAATCAAAGAATTACCAGAGTATTCAATGACTTCCTCTGGAGTTTTTCCTTCTACTTCTCTTGCTATATTTTCAATATCATCACGCCCCCACTTCTCATTAGCTTTGATGAACTGGTTAAAATCTCTTTTATTCCAATTGGTAAATCCCTTCACAGCAATAGAAACAAAATCATCATGGCACATTAAATCAGGAAAAATTAAATTATACTTTACCAATTTCTCTAATAACTAAATTTAAAATAGCTTCTAGTTTATCAATGTAAACAAATGTACACATTTAGTAACACATTATGTATTGTCTAAATACCCAAGCAATTAAATCTGAGTTCCAGAGACCCAAGATTACTGCATGATGACGTGACATTACGCTGAGCTTTAGAGGACTATGCCAGGAAAAGTGAGTAATGTAAGCTAAAGAGCAAAGATAAGAGCAAGAGGGAAAAACAGAAGGGAAAAAAGCTCTAAAGGCAGCTTAGAGGCCAGATTCTGAAAGGCTGTGAATAAACCCCAAAGCATGTTTAAGAAGTATTTGTAACTGTAACTTGGTAGAAATGTGGAAAATGGACCGGGAAGGCCGAATGTTAAGGTAATCAAGTATACCCCCTCTCCTAAGGCCAGTGCAAATCTATAATCTCCTCAACTACTTCAAATAGTGATAACCAAAATGCATGACCACATTGAATTGGAGAATGTTTTCTCCTCCCTTTCTGGGGAGCCCATGCAACCCCTAGCAATTACAAAACAAAACAAATGAAAAACAGGGCCAGCCCGTGGCATGGTGGTTAAGGCAGCTAGATTTCACATGGCAATGTGCACAGGTCCAAGCCTCAACATGTCCAATCTCTCCATTTCTGAAAACAGAAACTTTAGTTTACTGTATGTCGCCACACAATCTTAACACAGTATTTAATAAAAACGGTTTAATAATTTTTAAAATTGTGTTGATAGAAGCCTATACCTGTGTTAGAAGCTTTTCTTTTTCCTCTAACTCTTCATCATTAAGAGGCTCAGCTTCATCAATTTTAAGCTGTTCTTCTTTCTGTGCCTGGGCTGCATTAGGTAGGTCAGGACTTCGAGGTACCTAAAATAAAGTTTTCTACTCCATCAATCAGTAAACATTAAAGAGTAAGTTATGAATTAAATTCTTAACCAAGTGATTGATATTTCTCAAGTTTCAATCCAACCATAAAAGAAAAATTACTGATATCCTGACACTTATTACAATAAAAACAAATCAGATCAGTCATGAAAGAAGTTCTTCCTTTCTTTTAAAACAAGAGACATAAGTCAGTGTACTACACACACACAACTAGGGTAAAGTAAATCAATACTCATTACTAGGCTCAAATTAAGTAACTCATACTAACTAATGTTTATACACACTAACATTTCTGGATAGAAGGGTATAAAATGGAGAGTCTTAATTACCTTGTACCCAATAGTTTTTCTGTAATACAGAATTTCTTTTTCCAGTAATTCAAATAAACGGGGGGGAAAGAACTGGAAATCCTGAACATTGGGTTGTTTAGGTGGTCGAGGAGCCTAAAGAAATAAAAAGAAAGTGTTATTCATTAAAAAAGGAATTTTGCTTTAAATCTACCCCGTCCTTCATTTCATAAACCATGAAAGCAAATTCTCCAAGTAATTGAATCTATCTTTCAATAAAACTGAACTGATCTCATCAATCAAGTTTTATATGCAGAGAGTCAAAATTAATTTTCAAAAACCTTAACAATTAAAAAATGAAGGGGAATGTCAGCCTCATAGCCTAGTGGTTAAAGAAGCCAGATCCCACTGTCTGACTACTGTTTGAATCCCAGCCCTTGGGTCTTAAAAATACACACCAGGGGAACCAGCAGTTAGTGTAATGGCTATGTCGCTGGACTCCCACATAGTCGACCGCAGTTCGAGTCCCGGACCCAGTGGCTTAAAACTCACGCTGGGCACGTGTGCATGCGTGCCCAAGATTCCAAGAGGAGAATAGAGAAGAGATTGCGGCGTGACCATGCCCCCTGGGGGGTGATTTCTTGCTTTCTGTCTCTATGTCTCTCTCTGTCTATCTGGCGCGCACACGCGCCCTTATAGCAAAAACCTCTCTAAAAAAAAAACACACACCAGGCGTGTGTGTGTGTGTGTGTGTGGCAACTAAAACACAAAATCAAAAGGGCTACACTATAAGAAAACAAACAAAATTTAACTCTTAATCTTATTTTATTAAAAGAATACAAGAAAAAAATATATTTTTAAATACCTTGGGGACGAGTGGATGGCATAATGGTTTTGCCACTTACTCCTATATGGCCGACCATAGTTTAAGTCCTGAATCTGACAGTTTAAAACTCACACCAGGCATGTTTGTGCGTATGTCCAAGATTCCAGGAGAAGAATGGAGAAGGGACTGCAGCGTGACCATCCCCACTGGGGGGAGTGGTTTCTAACCTTCCTTCTGACTGTGTGTGTGTGTGTGTGTATCTCTCTCCAAGGAACACACATGCCCTAAGGCAAAAACCTCTTAAAAATAAAAAAAAAAGCTTCTGTATTCTGTATTGTGTCAACTTACCTTGGGTGCTTTAGGTTCACTAACACGAAGAGCTTCCCGGAAATAAGCATCGACAGCATAGTTGGCTTTTCTTTCTCGTTTAGGGGGTTCAATCCACTCTGTGAATGCAATCTAGCATGTGGGAAACAATTCAAATTGCCAATTTTAATTTCATAGAATAAAATTTCACATCATCAAAAGTGAAATCTGTAGATGGGAAGGTGTTAATCCTGGACTGTAAACTCTACAAGGGTGGAGACTATGATATACTGCCCAATGCTATGTAGTTCATACTAAGACAGTGTCTAATAAACAGAGTTAGTGTTCAGTAAGGGTTGCATACCCCTTGCCAAAATGCTTGGGACTGGAGTGTTTTGAACTTAGGGTATTTTCAAATTTCCAAATACATATATATGTACATATATATGTGTATACATAGGTAAGATAGATAGATACATAAAATGAGATATCTTGGGGATGGGATCCAAATCTAAATACAAAATTCGTTATTGGTTCATACACACTTAATACATATAGGCTAAATATAACTTTGCATTTAATAGTTTTGTACTGCAGCATATTAGCTATGACCCATCACATGAGGTCAGGTGTAGAATGTCTCACTTGTGATGCCATGTCTGTACTCAAAAAGTTTTAAATTTTAGAGCATTTTGGATTTTGTATCAGAAATGCTAACTGTATTTCTTGCCCAAATGAATAATGGTATAATTGGATGAGTTAGAAAAATGCTACAAAATATAAGCTTACAACTCAAATTAGGGAAAAAAACTGGAAAGATAAATTTAACCTAGAAAAATATCTCAAGACATTTATGTCTAAATGTTAACAAGGAAACCTAGGTAAAAATCATTCTTTTCTTCTACCAATACGTATTTTCTAATTTCTCTTCTATTAACAAGTATTACTTATGAAATTAAGAAATGTTTCCTTTTAATGATTACCAGACAATTCTGTTTAAAACAAAAAAATGGTTTATTACAAAACCGTTTCAAATATCCCAAATTACTATACTCACCCCATACAGACAATATTTCACTTCAACAGTACAAAATAAACTTTAAAAAACATTTCAGAGCTTAACAACTGATAAGCCAGTTCAAATTTAACATTAAAGTGGAAAAAATTTAGATGTATGACTAACACAAATGACAGCTCTTTAAGACAAAATTACAAGGAATTATATCCAACACTTAAAATTCCATGTCTTCAGTAAAATAACGCGTTCATGGGACCAAAACTTGCTTTAAAATTACCTTTTGTTTTTCTCTATAATCTTCTCCTTCAAAATTATAAACACTGGACTCTGTATCCATTGTAAAGTTTCTAAGTGAGCTTTCACCCATCTTGGAGAGCTTTTCATTCATCTCTGCGGTCTAGATAACAAAAGAAATGCCATATCAGATTAAGAATAAAAAAGCAAGAGATGTGTAATAAAAATGAATTAAACTGCATGTTAAACAGAAGCATTCTGGGAAACAAGATAATTTGTAATCTACACTGAAAAATAATTCAAGTTCTGGTCTGAAATACGTTATAATAAAGCAGTAGCAAGTAATTAATCTACATCTCACCTTCTTTGCACCTCTTTCCAAAATACCATCA